ACGTGGTACAGCTCTGACCATAGATCCTCGCGCTACTTCCGTGCTATGCTTCATAGATTTATCTTCACAACCAAATCCGCCTGGTTGTTACAAATCTATTCCTGTTGCTCCCACTGAACATGGGGCATCTGTGAAACGCTTAGTTTCACTTCATTTTCTTAATCTTAGAAAATTGGTAGAACTCCTTGAACGGGGGACAACCCCACGCAGGGCTGCTACATACACAGGATAACACAAACACAAAATAAACGCAAACACAGCCATGCCTTGAGTGGGATTCGAAACCACGCTCCCAGTTTTCGTGAGGATGAAGATAATGCATGTCCTAGATTGCAGTGTTACTGCGATCGGTCTATGTTACAAATACGTTAATATTATTTTCATACAAATATATTTCTGTGCGACACACAGACATGACTGACTGACTCTCAGAATATTTCAAAATTTTGTTTCAACTACTAGTACAAAAGGGTAGGTAAAGCAGAATGCACAGCCTGCGACACATAGAGCGCCGTGAAATAATCCACAAAAATATTGAAGATTATCATGAATTCTGAGGGGGAACGTGGTGGCGTAGTGCTGTAGTTGGTTGAGACACTATGCTACAAGCCGGAAGGTCACGGGATCGAATTCCGATGAGGTGGATTTTTTCAATTTACGAGTACCTAATCCTTCCAGCCACACTATGGCCCTGGTGTCGACTCAGTCTCTAACAGAAATGAGTACCAGGAATATTCTTGGAATATTTTTGGAGGTAAAAGGAGGCCGGCGCGTAAGCCTAACAACCTTATCCCCATCTATGAGCCGATTGTCTAGAAAATGTGGGAACCTCAACATCTCACAAACCTATGGGCCTCCACGGCCTGTTACAGGGATACCTTTACTTTCTTTTACTTATCATGAATTGTGAGAAGGTAATGATTAGATATGCCGGACAGACCCTGATGATGGGGACAGAGATGATCCCTGAAACGTCGGTAATGTTTAAGCAATTGGCACGGATGAGAGCTTGAGATGATTATACCAACTTCAGCCTCTGTGAAAGCCTCAGGTCTCACATGAAAGTGTGCTGACAACTCGAACGTAATGTTTGGTTTTCATGCTGTCGAAGGTCACCCTATATTTGCTGTTGCTTCCCTACGATCAATAATACTAAGATGGCAGTTGTCCGAAATTCAGGCGTCAGAGCAACGCTAATTCCTCTTAGTAACTTGTCCTGAAAAATTAAGTTACAGTAGAACTAGGTAAAGCAAACAACTTTCATTATTTCTTGTGGGCTATATAGGCCTGCAGGCAATGTGCAGGCGGTGGGATATCTGCATTTAGATTTACGTTTCATGTCGTCAAATAACGAGACACTGCTATCTCTCTCTCTGTCTGTCTGTATGTCTATCTGTCTGTCTGTCTGTCTCCCTATCTATCTCTCTATCCATAATTCCACAGCTCCTTGTTGGGCCTTGGCTGCTTTTCAGTTTCATAATCCAATGCACAGACAGTAGGACTCCTTGGACGGGAGATCAGCCCGTCGCAAGGCCTCTACCCACACACGGAACGACACAGAGAATAAACGCACACAGACATCCATGCCTTCAGAGGAATTCGAACTCGATTATCCCAGCTTTCGAGAGGGGCGAAGACTTTTCATGCCTTCGATTGCGCGGCCGCTGTGACAGGCAGACACTGCTGCTAATCAAGCGAAATCTAGTGTGAAAGTATGTCATGAACATGCCTACATGTTTTGTGTGAAATTTGTTGATGATAACAAATATAAATATAGCGACGGCACGATACTTTGAGGTAGATATTCCGAATCCATAGGATCACTAGCTGAAACTGTGAACATAGTACGAGTGAATGGCTCTGTAACTGTGTAATTAATAAAGTGCTATTCCTTTTAACCTCTCCATGTAGAATGAAGCATTTGTAGGAAAGTAGTCTAAATAGGTTAATCACAGAACGTTATTATTTTGCTCTAGAACAATCTGTCAAAGCTTAATGTTATATTTGGCCGCATAATTTATGCACTTTCAGTCAACGCCGACTTGAGTAAACACTTATATCACTTGAGTTTCTTTTCCAACTACTGATACTTGTTATCTGGAAGCGCCTGTTTCTGTGACGTCACACGCATACCAGCCTACTTGTGTGGCAGGGTACGTGGCAACTTGCAGATCAAAACAATTACGAGTTTCGCATCAAATTTTTTGGTTGTTAAGACTTACTTATTTGCTCATGGAGCTGAGCCTTTCTTGAGGAGCCGCCAATTCTGCAGCTGCTCAAGAATTTTCCAGCATTTTATGGAACCCGAAGGTTCATTACCGTGTTCACAAGAGGCCCCCCATGGTCCCGATCCTGAGCCAGATCAATCCAATCCATACCATCCCATCGTATCTCTCTAAGATCCATTTTAATATTGTCCACCCACCTACGCCTTGGTCTTCTCGGTGGTTCTTTCCTTCTGGCTTTCCCGCCAATATCCTATATGTATTCCTCTTCGCCCCCATTCGTGCTACATGTCCAGCCCACATCATCCTCCTTGATTTGATCATTCTAATTAAACTTGGAGAAGAGTACAAGTTCCTCATTATGCAGTTATCTGCAACTTCTTGTCACTTCATCTCGTGGTTATTAAGAACCAAACAAAATTTATTTCAGATCAAATTAACATCACTGAACAGCAAAGTTTATATAGCGTCCAATCGAAGGTCGACTGTAAATTGTATGAAAGCAATAATGGACTTACCTTTGTCTGGATGGATTGAAGAAAACCACACAAAGTGTCATTCAGAATAGCCTGTCTCCGATACGTGATAAAACACTACGGATTTCATATTCTACGCTTAGCACAGAACTCTCGCTCGTTAAAAAAATGCTTTCTTTAACGACACCGTTTCAACCATAAAGTAACATATCTTCAAACAGGTTCTGAACTATGATCATGAATAATAATAATTTGGACGGAGGTATGTGTGTCCTACCTCGGCTTCCAACGCAGAAACTGCAAAATTTAACTTAAAACTTACGTCAGAATTGCCAATAATAAGGATGAAATTAGAAGCCCGTATGTACAAAAATCTAGGGCGTTACTGCTTCACAAATATGTCCGATTGTAACGTGCGATCTTCTCTACTGAATGTGAGAAACATTGCCTCGCCTTAGAACGAAACGATCTCCACCGAATCTGGGATGTCAGATATAGAAATAATTGCTGATAATTAAATTATCATGCGATAGCAAAATTGTTTCCTGCAAATCCCACTCACCCATATCCCTACTATTGCTACCAAAGACATAGATCTGCCTGACAAGTTGGAACTTCTTCTGAGTCAACGATTCCCAGGAAGTATGGTGTTCTCAAGGCTTCCGCAGGTAAATGTAGGCCTGCACTGCATAGAGAGGATCTTTATAGATTCTCGAAGGTTCCGTAGGATTTCTTTGGGTTCTGAACGATTATGTACGTAAGTGGAAGATGTTAATATAGTGAGGATTTTTATGGTTTCTCTCATTCTCCCAGGCCGAAAGTCGGAAGAGTATCTAAAAATAGGCCACCACTGTTTCCCTTATTTTAATTTATCTTATTATTATGAACATATACAATTTTTACCTGCAATGCAACAATACTTTATTATTTATTAATGTATATAGTAATGCGTGCCATATAAATAAGTGAAATATTTTTGCATTGGCGGTAAAAGTTTTATATGTTCATTGTACGAGTATATAAGCAACAGGATGCCATCTATAAAAATAATAATAAATAAATAAAAATCTTACTTATTATTCGCTGTTAAATAACCTCTCGTGGAGAGAAAATATTGTGAAGGCAAAGTTGTCAAGCACCTTGCCATTAAAGCGTACAAGAAATCTGGACGTTAAACTCCATGCATTCTTAGTCTCGGTACCAGATGGAGGTCAAGCAATCGGCTTCAAACTTAGAATGTTATACTCCTGAGGTGGGGCGGACCCTCACCCCCAAGCCAAAGGCAGACTGAAACCCAGAGACTGTTTGAAAGTAGAAGTAAAGAGAGAAATATTTGACCTGTCGGGAATCTAATTTAGGTCGTGAAAATAGTCATTTTACGCAACGTAGCTGTGTGACATGCGGATCCTGTGACCTGTTCATTTAACAGTTCAGAGTGAACAAGTCTTATTATTCGATTTTCGTTGCGGTTGAAGTAGGTGGTTCATTGCGGCAGTATTTATTCGTAACAAAAATAAGAATTTCTTCATAGAAAATGTCACTGTTGGAAAAATTCTACCTATAGAATAATTCTGAGATTTTACTTCTCTGTCAATATCCAACGGTAGCCGAGCGGTCTAAGTCATGCACTGTCTTTGCCGAGATCGTGGGTTCGAATCCCACTTAGGGCATAAATGTTTGATGTTTGTGTGTGTGCGTGCGTCTTTCTGTGTTTGTGTACAGGTAAGGGCCTTGCGAAGAGCTGATCACCCGCCGAAGGAGTCCTACCGAATTTCTAAGAACTAGCAAACCGAAGTGAAACGGAGAGTTTCACAGAGGTAGGCCTAGGCCCACTGGAGCTGTAGTTCAAAAGAAAAAGAATAGGGTTGAAAGATGAGATGACTGACGACTGATGAATTGGAAAAATGTAGATGGAAGTGGTCGTGGCCTAACAGAGATGGTATATCGCATTCGCCTGGAGAGGCTGAGAACAGCAAAGAAAACCCTCAGTTTAGAGAGCCATTGTCCTAATTGAGATTCGAACTGATCTCCTCCCGAATATAAGTTTAGGGCTTTACCGCTAGAGAATAAATCTGTTAGCTTTTCTAGAAATATTCAGGCTGTTTATGTGTGTTTCTAGGCAGTGTAAACAAGTTGGAATGAATTCTGACCCTATGAACTGAGAAGGCGAGTATTTTGAGGTTATCGACGCTCACTAAATGTTTATATGTGCAGTGTGTGTTATATATAATCGGCCTGATTACTCGTCAGACCAGGAAATGCCCTGTTATGAAGAACACTTAGCGAACTGGAGGCCTACCTGCTGGATTGCCGTCTCCAGAGGAACGCCGTTCTTGACGAGGTCTTCAGTGAGGGCGCTCTCCGTCACCAATTGCTCCGACAGAACGTTCTCGTTGACGTCAGCCACCCGGGGCTTCACCAGGTACTGTTGCAGCCCCACCACCTACAAAATAACAAGCACATTCTTAAAATCGTATATTAACCATGTTCCGGTTCTTTTCCTGACAAATAAATCACTTATTCTCGTTTAGTCCCTACCTAAATGAATTACGATTATCCAAACATATGTACAATAACAAAAACTCCGCGGTTTTAGTCCGCAAGCGAACTATACCGACCGAGCGACCACCGCTTGTCGGCGAAGTTAGTTCCAACTTTTGCGGATAGAGGGTGTCACGTGGTCAGGGCAACGAATCCCCACGGCCGTTAATTTCGGTTTTCTAGACCGGGCCTTGTAACAACACGTATAGAAAAGTTGCTATATTGGATTAATATAATCATCATTTTATCCTGGCGTATTTAATTACACAGATTTTATAGCGTCGAATAATCCGGAAATCCTTCCTCTGGAAGGAAGGTGTCGCGCTCTAATCCAAGGCCATATCACGCTATTTCAAGAAGGCCTGAGGAAAATCCGCCAACTCCTTCAGTCAGCTTAGCCAATCTTAGGTAGGCCGCACACCGGTCTGAGTCATCATGCTGACGTCATGGCTCAGACTGGTGTGCGACGGTTTTCATAATCTCATTCGTTTCAACTGTACTCCTTTCTTTGCGTCATGTCGCAGACATCGTGCCTTGACGCATGCCAGTGTGCGGTCTAGCTTAGGGTCGGTATGTACTGTATCAGTGTCCGGGACCTCCCGAAACAACAGGGCTACTAAGCACTAGACGTCTACGTTCCGTTGCACTAATGTGTACCTCTGGTTAGGCAGGGTTTCTCTCTGTCCTGAACTACTCGCCGCAAGTTTATGGCTGCAGAATAATTGCAAGGGGCATGAGTACGGCATTTTTCTTGCGGCAAGTGTAAATATGCAGCAGCACTTCCAATTTTCGCAATTTGTAAACAAACAATTTCTCTCTGTAGGCTACATTCAAATTCGGAGTGGAAAGTGCCACATAATAGGAGAACCTCACAGTCAAGCAGATCAAATATTTTAAAAAATTTATAACAACAGAAATATTAGTCTCTAGGATAAATATAACTTTCTTCACAAATAGTTACTATAGGATTCTGACGATGGTGTNTTAGAAAGAGCTAGCCTCAATCACTTGGTCCAGTGATTGAGGCTAGCTCTTTCTAAGGGACCCAACTGAATAGGTGTTTTCCTTCACCTGAGGACGGAAACAGATCCAGTTTCCGAAATGTCGTGTTTTTATTTGTTATCTTAAAAACCAGGACGATGGATAAAGTCCAAAATCCCAACATATCAGTTTCTTCACAAAGTAAATAAAATGAATATGTATTGGGAGCCTTTCTATGCCGGTCAACATGTAGCATCTCTGAAACTACTGAACAGAAATTTGACGAAATTTCTTACTGGTGGATGAAGGGCAAAGAAGAGGTGACGTCCCTGCTTTTAAACACCACACAATAAAGACATACGGTTTATAGAGGTAAAACTCCGAGCATTCATAAGTAGGTACAAGGTTGAGGCAAAGTTTCATCTTCACGCCTCGGCCAGTTTATCCCCAGATAAGACCCTTCCCCCAAGTCACCAAGTGGATAAGAGGTTGGGTGTTGCAAAACCCTGGCCTGGAAATGTTGCCTCTTGATGAGGATCGAAAAACCCGTCGTATCCCTTCACTGACTGAAATATCTTGGTCATATTGGTACCGGGCGTCGACATTAAAAGTTCGGCGGCGAATTTAAGTTAGGTGGGTATGGATCCAAAGTAATCGACGTTTTAGATGAGCCTAAGATCGAAATTTGTCCGATTTTCTGAATAAAACAAAGGAGCGGAATACTTCAGAACGTTTGACGCGATAAAGAGTATCTGTCGTACTGAAGTCTGCAAATTTATATTTTAAAAACTTTTCGATGTGACAAAACTTCTCGGGCTAGAACCCACACCGTTTTGGAAAAGGAATTCTATGGAAGTCTTCTGTTCTGAATAGATTTGGCTTCGAGCCCAAGGTGATTTTGTCGTTTTCAGTAGCTATTGAAGTTTCATAATATTATATTATTTACTTGAGAAACCACTATCAAAATCACAAAAACAAAACACATACAAAGATCCGAAAACACCTCAAAACAAAATGTGCAATATTCACTTATTAAGGAAAAGAAGTAAGAAAAAGAAGTTCCTTAAAAATACGCAACTTAGAGTAGCTTTTCGCACACAAACACAATCAACAGTATATTAAAATATAACGAACAGGCAGATAAATATAACAATAGCTGTATATATCAGATGAAATGCTTCGATTACCCACTGAAGGATATTGGTCAAACTGGGAGAACGCTTAACATAAGATATAGAGAACATATTCATGCAGTCAGAACTGATAATAGTAATTCCGGCTATTCAATTCATATATTAGTCACGGGACATACATATGGTGCAACAACAGAGACAATGGACGTCATAAGACCAGGAAGGAAGGGCAGACAGTTAAATACATTAGAAAAGTATCACATTTACAAAATTAGTGGGTAAAACTTACACATGAACGAGACACATACGTCGAAGCACCTAATCCTATATTCCAAACAGTGCATGAGCTTTACAATAAGTAGCAGTACACTAACTACCTAGAAAGATATATAAGCGAGAACAATTGTACCAGAAGCAATACAAGGAACACAAAGCAGCACTACATACACACGCCTAAGCGAGCGGCACACCCAATGGGACACGTAAATACAAAAATACAACATCTAGGTACATAAAGGTAGCATAATCTAAATCATTCAGAACGGAATTAAATTAATAACATGTATTATACAATACAAGAAAAGAGCCGCAATATATAGGAGGGGAAGAAAATCATCCTATGAAATTTTTCTACAACATCAGAATTTAAAGAAGTCAATAATAATAAGAAGAAAATGGCTTAATGAATACTATTTGGCCAAGTACACAATGCAGTAAGGTCCATTAAAAGGTGTGTTGCCTGATGATGGCCCTATGCGGCTGAAACATGTAGCATAAACAACAAATGAAAACATGACTCTAAGTGCTTCTGAACTTACAGTCTTCTTGATAGGTGAATCTTTAGAGAAATGCAAGGGGAAATAATTTCTGACTCGTTGGAGTGATACGTAGTATCAGCTTTGCAACAGTCGGTTTCTATCTACAATAAATGAACATCAAGGCGACTAGGTTCACAATTCAATAATGCATTTGGAATAAATCTGTACACCAAACTGGATTATACCTTACCGTTCTTGTGTCTACTTGAATATCAATGCACTTGCTAATAGAGCACTTAGGCTTCTAGTTTCTACAGCTGTACTGAGGCACATGTCGCACAAGGAGCAATACTAAGTGCACAACTGGGCCGCGCCATAGCCCAAACGGTTAGTCGCTGGCTTTCCGCCGCGGCGGATCGGGTTCGAGTCCGGGTCTAGTCAAGTAGGATTTGTGGTGGACAAAGTGGAGCTAAGGCAAGTTTTCTCCGAGTACTTAGGTTCCACCTGCCAATTTTATTCCACGAATTGCTCCACAATCACTGTCATCTATCATCCGGGGCTGGTACAATAGGTCAGTAATGACCACTGTACCAAGTGGACTCAGCCTCACGCCACTAAGAAGAAGAATAAGATTCATGTTATGGTCTTTCGGTGTGAGATCGTATAATCTGCTATAACGTTGCCAACATTTCGGAGAAAACTTCTGCTTTCATGTTCAGGGTGGTGGTGGAACATTCCTCCAAAATCAGTGTACTTGTATACCAGAACACAGAATGACAGAACTCAGGCCACAACATTAATTGTAACTTTTTCTTATTAGGTACCTCTTCCACAACAATTTAGGCTACCATATAGCTTCAGACATCCCTGAATAAATTAAGAATTCGAATATGTAGCTGATTTATCGTATTGTATTCTATTTAGATCAAATATTGGACGGTAGCGTGTATTTTATTTTTATTGTTACTGGGGTGGGACTAAGTCCCTTGTACTTCGGCCGCTTCTGGCCTATTGTACCAGCCCCAGATGATAGGTGAGGGTGATTGTGGAGCAATTGGTGGAATGAAGATGGGCAGGGGAAACCGAAGTACTTGGAGAAAACCCGCCCCAGCGCCACTTTGTCCACACAAATCCCACTTGACCAGACCCGGGATCGAACCCGGGCCGCGGCGGTGGGAAGCCAGGGACTAACCGCTTTAGCTATGGCGCGGCCCCACGGTAGTGTATGAGTGGCAGCTAACATATCCTGTTCCAGGCGTGTGCCGTAGTCTGCTGTTAACTTTCAATGTCAAGAAATTCTGTTCTGTTTAAACTGTACAGTATCGACAAACACATATTCGCAGTCATCTTAACGATAACACTGCCGTGACATGGAACGAGTTATATAATGATCATGTGTGTGAAGACTAGATTATCTCGTAAAGTATACAACAAGTAATGACGAGTTAAAAACCTCATTACCCATCGTAAGAGAAAATAAAGAAATTTATACCAAAAATTATAATTACAAACACCCACAGATTTATTCAATTTATCTGAAAAAATCTATACATATGCAGTACCATATTAAGATTTAATTTGCAGGGTTATTTTGAAAAATATTTCCTAAAATAATTGAATTTTTTACACAGTTTCGCAAAGTAGTTTTACTAGGCTGTAAGTTATTAGTACAGCGAAGACGCTTTCAGTACGGAATTTATACAGAGTCGTACGGAACGATAATTGATGAATCATGAATTCAAACGGAATAAAAGTAATGGTCATGGCTAAACCGAGGTACTATCTTGCATTTGTTTGGAGAATATTGTGGAGAATCACAAAAAAATTAAGCGAGAACAGCCAGCGTCTCCGCCAAGATTCGAACAGAACACACCCGAATGCAAATCTAGAGTTTTTTTTTATTAAATTCGCTTGGGGTGGGGGGAGTCCAGCTGGCTTCACTCGGCACGTCGGCCACTGATTGGCCTATTGTACCTGCCCCGGGTGATTATGATGATGGAGGATTTGGTGGAAATGAGATTGGCAGAGGG